GATAAAGTTGGAAATGACCGCAAGGTTTACAAACCTCCAATGAAGGAGAGTCCACCACTTTTCAAGGAAGTTTGTCCCACTGTCGAACTGCTCTTGCTGTCCATGGGGGGTGGGGTGGGGCAGTTTATGAACCACTGTCTTGATGCTATCAGAGTCTCTCGACCCTGCTGTTCAAAAGGCCTCAAACCGCTCTCTGGCTCTGTGGACACTATACCTTTAAATCACATTCAGAACGCATTGCCCTCAAAGAATTAGGGGCACTCTCATCTCTTAATGTCATGCAAGGAATTGTATCTGTGAGGGGTGCCCGGAATTCTTTGATGTGCTTCAAATGTGCTTTAAAGGTTTAGTTACAGGGGTCAGCAAACTTTTTCAGCAGGGGGTCAGTCCACTGTCCCTCAGATCTTGGGGGGGAGGGGGAGCAGACTATATTTTGAAAAAAAGAAGAATGAATGAATTCCTATGCCCCACAAATAACCCAGAGATGCATTTTAAATAAAAGCACACATTCTAATCATGTAAAAACACCAGGCAGGACCCACAAATAATCCAGAGATGCATTTTAAATAAAAGGACACATTCTACTCATGTAAAAACACGCTGATTCCCGGACTGTCCGCAGGCCGGATTTAGAAGGCGATTGGGCCGGATCCAGCCTCTGGGCCTTAATTTGCCTACCCATGGTTTAGTGTGTACAGAGCCTGGAGGACTCTCATACAGGAATGCCCTTCATATCCCTAAACTGACATGACAGTTATTCCTTTACCAGGCAAACCCAAATGCCACAAAACAGCATGCAAGTTTTCAATTTCCCCAAGAACTCTTCATAAGATTTGTGATTTTCATCTCTGTTGTTTGCAACACCATCTTGTTCTTAATAGGCACACCTCTCTGAAACAATTTGTGTTTGCAGTCTATGAATTTATTGTATCCAAATAAAAGGGGAGGGGAGGAAGAAAGTTTTGGTGTTGGCTGATGTTATGGAGTCTTGTGTGGGAGTCAAGGCAGACATTCAAATGAGATTCTGTGGGGTTTTCCTGTTGCACCATGGACTGCTGGTAAGATGAAACACACAATGGCCGGGCTCCCGTTTTCCAAAATATAAAATCCAGCTATTATCGACATCTGCCTACTTCTTTAGGAAAAACACATAGGTTTCTTGGTGGGTGGATTACAGAAATAAAGAAAGGCCTTAATAATAATAATAATAATAATAATAATAATAATAATAATAATAATTTATTTATTTATTTATTTATTTATACCCTGCCCATCTGGCTGGGCTTCCCCAGTCACACTGGGTGGCTTCCAACAAAATATTAAAATACCATAATGCATCAAACATTAAAAGCTTCCCTAAACAGGGCTGCCTTCAGATGTCTTCTGAAAGTCTGGTAGTTGTTGTTCTCTTTGTGGGCATTCCACAGGGCGGGTGCCACTAACAAGAAGGCCTTCTGCCTGGTTCCCTGTAACTTGGCTTCTCGCAGGGAGGGAACCGCCAGAAGGCCCTTGGCGCTGGACCTCAGTGTCCAGGCAGAACGATGGGGGTGGAGCTGCTCCTTCAGGTATACTGGGCCGAGGCTGTTTAGGGCTTTAAAGGTCAACACCAACACTTTGAATTGTGCTTAAAAACATACTGGGTGCCAATGTAGGTCTTTCAGGACCAGTGTTATGTGGTCCCGGCGGCCACTCCCAGTCACAGTCTAGCTACCACATTCTGGATTAGTTGCAGTTTCCGGGTTACCTTCAAAGGTAGCCGCACATAGAGCGCATTGCAGTAGTCCAAACGGGAGATAACCAGAGCATGCACCACTCTGGTGAGGCAGAGGGAAGGAGATTGGACAAATTCATGGATAGCCATAGCTATGTTCTCTCCATGGTTAGAGGCATGAATGGCTGGGGATCACCAGGGCGAGTGTGGTTGCTCTCAGGTCCTGCTTGGGGCTTGCATCTGCATCAGCATCTGGTTGGCCACTGTGAGAACTGGATGCTGAAATAGATGGACTTTGGGGCTGATCCAACCAGGCTCTTCTTATGTTCTTGCTCTGGCAAATGAATGGGGAGATAGCATCTTTTAGCGTTGGAAGGGGAAGACAGGAGTGCCTGGCGTGCTCTGGTCCATGGGGTCACGAAGAGTCAGACAAGACTAAAACAACAACAACAACAAAGCGTTGGAAGGGACCCCATGGGTTATCAAGTCCATTGCAGGAATCTCAGCTAAAGCATCCATGACAGGTGGCCATTGAACCTCTGCTTAAAAAACCTCTGAGAAAGGAGAGGCCACCACCTCCTGAGGGAGACCATTCCGCTGTCAAACAGCTCTTCCTGTCAGAAAGTTTTTCCGCATTTTTAATTGGAATCTCCTTTCTTGTACCTGGAAACCATTGCTTCGGGTCCTACCCTCCAGAGCAGGAGAAGACAAGCATGTTCCCTCCTCCATGTGACAGCCCTTGAGATATTTGAAGACGGCTATGCTATCTCCTCTCAGTCTCCTCTTTTCCAGGCTAAACACACCCAGCTCCTTCAAGCCTTCCCTGTAGGGCTTAGTTTCCAGACCCTTGATCATCTTGGTTGCCCTCCTCTGCACACGTTCCCACTTGTCAACATCCTTCTTAAATTGTGTTGCCCGCAACTGGACACAGTATTCCAGGTGTGGTCTGACCAAGGCAGAATAGAGTGGTACTATTACTTCCCTTGATTGGGACACTATACTTCTGTGGATGCAGCCTAGAATAAGATAATAATAGTAGTAGTAGTAGTAGTAGTAGTAGTAGTAATAATAATAATAATAATAATAATAATAATAATAATAATTTACTATTTGTACCCCGCCCATCTGGATGGGTTTCCCCAGCCACTCTGGGCGGCTTCCAACAAAGATTAAAAATACATTAAAATGTCACACATTAAAAACTTCCCTGAACAGGGCTGCCTTCAGATGTATTCTGAAGGTCCAGTAGTTGTTTATCTCCTTGATATCTGATGGGACGGTGTTTGCAGTCTATGAATTTATTGTATCCAAATAAAGGGGGAGGGGAGGAAGAAAGTCTTGGTGTTGGCTGCTACAATCTTGCAATGTTTAAAGGATGAATCGACCAACCAGATCGTGAAAATTCACGCTCCTGGTATTAAGCTAGTCACACCTCCATTTGCACTGCCAGGAAATCGCAGTTAGGCAGGCAGTCACCCAACTCAGCCACACCCTTGTTACCTGCTTGGCTGGTTCAGAAGGGGCCTGTTCACTCATGCAGAAGCACTCTGAGCATTCACTATACAGCTAAGTTTCCCAGTGCTGGATTCCTCCACAATGCCTAGAATGCATAATGGAATTCCATGCCACAAAATTCGCACCATCCGTCCTTCTGAAAATTTCCTTCTGAAAATTGGCTGCCCAGATAAATTTCTGAATATCCTTCAACTCCTCCATGATAAAATTCCCCTCCTCCTCGCAAAGTGAACCATTCACAATGGGATCAGGTGCTAAACAGGGTTGTGTTATTGCCCCAACTCTATTTATTATTTTCATTGCCATGATCCTGTCTTTCAGCCTGCTCTCAGCTGTTCCCTTGGAAACCGGCATCCAAGGTCAGAGGGAGTCGACACTGGCAGCTCTGGCCTTTGCTCAGCCTGCGTCAAATCTAAACCTCTCTGTTCCTTCCCGTGTTCTGCAGCTGGCTGTAAAGTTCCACTTGGAGCTGGCTCGTTCCTGACAGGTGGGTGGGGCTAGGAGTAAAAGTGGGTGGAGCAAGAAATTGACTCACACATCTCTCTCTATTCAGGCAAGCAAGAAATATTATTGTCGTTCAAGGATACATTTGAGCCAGGCAGAAACAGTCTAGGAGGGTGCAAACCTCCTTGGAGTTTTATGAACAGAGGTTGGAGGGCCACCTGTCATGGATGCTTTAGCTGACAATCCTTCCTTGCAGGGGGTTGGACTAGATGACCCTCGGGGTCCCTTCCAACTCCAAGATTCTATGATTCTACGATTCTATGAAAGCAAGGATATAGCTTGTGGCCTGAGGAGAGTTCCAAGGGCCAATCAGGGAGGCCTGGAAGGCCGCTATCAGCATCTGGACCTGAGGTTGTTTGGGAGATTAGACCCAATCTATGGAAGATGATGCTGTGGGCTAAAAGGAGCCTCCATGTTCAGCAGCAGCAGGATTTATGGGACCTTGTGTGTAAGGGATTATTCACCCTTACCTTTTGCCCCGCTCTTTCTAAGAGGTCCACTCTTTAATGCTCCATGTCCAAACATTGTTGTTGAGGGTTTTTTGCCCTGAGTTTTCCCTGCGAAGATCCACTCTTTAAAGCTGAATCGGAGCAAATGTCAATTCTGGTTTTCCATGAATTGACATTTATTCCTTTTCCCCCCAAATTTTTTTATTCATTTTATAACACACACAAAAAACACAAACAGAAAAGACAAACAGTACGGACAAATTCTTGTCATATCCTCATTTTTCTAAAAAAATTTAAGTGGGCTTCCCCAAGTCCCACCTATCTGATTTTCATCTTTAGCAGTTTACATACATCATAATTTCTAACCATCTTTTTTTAAAAATCACACTTAAAATAACTTCACATTTTATCACTTACAAATAATACTATTTTAAAATACCCTATCTTCTACTTCTAACCCTACAGCCTCTATCCACTTCCAAAGCTATTCTAAGGTTTAAATATTAACATATTTTTTTCAAATATTCCTTAAACTTCTTCCAGTCTTCTTCCACCGTCTCTTCTCTCTGGTCTCGGATTCTCCCAGTCAGTTCGGCAAGTTCCATATAGTCCATCATCTTCATCTGCCATTTCAAATATTCCTTAAACTTCTTCCAGTCTTCTTCCACTGTCTCTTCTCTCTGTATGAATTGACATTTATTCCAAATGAGTTTTAGAGAGCAGGTTTTTATGGGGAAAGCTCTGGTGGGCGGGCTGGGGGGCGGGAAGGGTGCTTGGACATAGACCTTTGAAGCATGGACCATGCCTGGAAAAACTGGAGGCAAGGTAAGTGTGGATAAGCCCATAATCTGTATGGGTAAAGGATCTGAAGTCTGTAGCTGCAGCTGCTTGAGTCACTGCAAAAGAGGGATATCCAAAGGGAAGTACAGCAGCTGACATTATCAAGGACTGTTCCGTCACCAACAGTGCCGTGTTGCATGTTCACAACTTGGACATGTGTTCTGTATCAGTAGCTGATTGAGCAGGAAGTACAGGTACCACAGCTTTTCCCTCCCTCCAGATCCTTTCCCAATCCAGTCATCTGACTTCTTCCCCAACTGCTGTGATGCACACTTCGATTCCTGCTCCACCAGAGCAGATCAGGAAGGAGAAGCAGATGGAACCTGCAGGCCAGATTTGGGCCCAGAGACGTCCGATGCCCACAGGAAGTTTTAACTAAGAAATAAACTTGTCAGACTCCAGCTGAATGAAACTGGCAAACCGCAAGCCTGGTTGTGTAACTTTCCATAATTGCACAGGCCAACTCTTTTCTGAACCTTGAGGAACTGCCAATTCCTTATTTAAAGAGTGTTGCGCCGGCAGCTAACAAGGGCTCGGAAAGATGGAAGATGAAGATGGATATATGCAAATAGATCCAAAAAGCCAGCAGAAGCGCTCCGCACCACTTCCCAAGTGCACCAAAGGTATTGTTTGAAAACAAATCTCTCAGTTTACCTTTACAAATAAAGCAAAAAGCAGGGCAGCAGTTGCAGTAACTTAACCAACAACCATCACCTGTAGGCAAGATTTAGAAAGTGTTGTTATGAACTTCTTCCATTGAATCCCCCCGCCCACCTCTTAAATGTTAAAATGTGGAATGTGCTTTGCATTTGATATATGTGTGTGGCAACGTTTTGAGCGTGTCTTCATCTCATCTAGCAAAAAAATGGTATTTACAACAGGGCTTAAACTGTGACTAACTAGTTCACTTGGTTTCAATGGGGTTTATTTGTTGGTTTGTTGCATTTAGAGCACACCTTTCTTCCAATGAGGTGGTGTCGCAGGGCGGGATTTAGGTTTGATGAGGCCCTAAACTACTGAAGGTAATGGGGCTCTTTCTATGTCCAGCTGTCCTTTGTCAACAACAAATTGTCGCTGTTTGTTGTGTTGAATATATGCTATACGCCGTAACCCCAGAGTCGTCTGCGACTGGACTTAACTGTCAGGGGTCCTTTACCTTTACTTTTTAGACAACACAAAACACAGTTGCTGTATGTAGGTTTTATTTTATTTGTTTTTTATCTTATATTTTGGAAATGTACATCCAGTTTCCCCCCCTTTAAACTTGAGGTCTTTAGTCCATAATTTTCCCACACGTTCATCTAAATGGTAATATAATAATAATAATAATAATTTATTATTTATACCCCGCCCATCTGGTTGGGTCTCCCCAGCCACTCTGGGCGGCTTCCATAAAAACCAAAAATACAGTAAAATATCACACGTTAAAAACTTCCCTGAACAGGGCTGCCTTAAGATGTCTTCTGAATGTCAGGTAGTTGTTTATCGCTTTGACATCTGCTGGAAGGGCGTTCCACAGGGCGGGCGCCACTACCGAGAAGGCCCTCTGCCTGGTTCCCTGTAGCTTTGCTTCTCGCAATGAGGGAACCGCCAGAAGGCCCTCGGCGCTGGACCTCAGCGTCCGGGCAGAATGATGGGGGTGGAGACGCTCCTTCAGGTATACTGGACCGAGGCCGTTTAGGGCTTTCAAAGTCAGCACCAACACTTTGAATTGTGCTTGGAAACATACTGGGAGCCAATGTAGGTCTTTCAAGACCGGTGTTATATGGTCTCGGCGGCCGCCCCCAGTCACCAGACTTTTGGTATAACCAAAGTCCTCTGACCATTTAATCATTGCTTCTTTAACTTCTTTATTTTTGTTTTTTTTAAAAAAAAGGGGCAACCAGTCTGCATACAAATAAGGTTTCTGTGGACAATAGAATGTTGGCTTTGGTCAGGTTTCTGCATCTTTGGGGGCAATTTAATAAGAAATTGGAGCTGTCCATCAGTTGTTGCTGGACTACAAATTCCCACAAGCCCCAGCCAGCATCATCAGTACTCAGGGATGATGGGCATTGTAGTCCAACAACATCTGGATGGCATCTCATTGGCTACCCCTGAAGTAGATCAACCTTTGCTGCCACTTGTGTGAGAGATGTCTTTCTGAGATATACCGTAACACGCACCCGACCATAACACGCACATAGTTTTTAGAGGAGGAAAACAAGAAAAAAAATATTCTAAATGAAACAGTGGGTGTATGATTTTTGTGGTTCATGCTGTGGCCACAGACATGTGATCTGACGGTGAGTTTGGGTAGCCCAATGCAAAAATCCTGAGGATCCATGTGGATCCGTGCTTTGTAACCACGTTTTAAGTGGGGAGGAAGGAAAAGCACTCAAGGGACAAGGAACACGCGTGGGGTGGGTGGAGAAGGATGCTGTTAATAATGCAGAAGAGGGGTATAAGAGGAGAAGGATCCTCCCCTCTCCCGCTTTGCTCCTTTAAAGGCTCTGCTTCTATTCCTCCTCCCCGGCTCGCTGAAAAAAACAGCTCTGGACTCGTGTAAGCGGCTCCTCTCCTCTCCCGCTTTGCTCCTTTAAAGCAAGCAGGCTCTCTGTCCCTCTCTCCTCCCCACTCAGCGGCTCTTCTCCCACTTTGCTGTTTCAAAGCGAGCCACGGAGGAGGGAAGGAAGGGGAACCACGACTGCAGCAGATTCCCCCGCCACCCGTAGGCATTCGCTCCATAACACGCACAGACATTTCCCCTTACTTTCTAGGAGGAAAAAAGTGAGTGTTATGGTGCAAAAAATACGGTACTTGCCACCTGCTCATTTGGAAATTGCCATTTCCACCTCAAATGATTCATGGCTCAGTCCCACCGAATGAAATGATTGTTTCATTGTTTCCAACAAGGGTCTCAAATCAATCCCCCAAGTACCGTAACTTGTGCCAGCTTGCACAACTCTTCAAAGTAGGAGTTCTTGAGTAGTTGGTTCCTAATAGTGTAGCAACTGAAGAGTGGGGAAAATGTCTAGTTTATACTTCATATGCTTTTAAAATACACAATAGCACACAGCTTAGGTAATTTCCTTATGTCTTCAGGAAAATACTCTTGTTGGGGAAGTTGCAGGTGGGTGTCAAAACTGCTGCTTTCCATCTTTTTCTTCTTCTTGATTATGGAGCACTTCCTCCCATCAGACCGCATGGGTGACAAAGAGCAAGACAGGGTCAACATCTGCTTGCTTGATACGCTTGTTTGTTAAATGTATAAATAGTCCATCCAGCAGCGTAGCGATCTGGGTGCTTTGCAAAACCAAAATTTAAACATTTCGTAGAATTGTAGAACTGGAAGGTACTCTAGACTAACTCCCTGCAATGCAGGGCTCTCAGCTAAAGCACCCATGACAGATGGCTATCCAACCTCTGTTTAAAAGCCTCCATTGAAGGAGATTCCACAACCTCCAGAGGGAGTCCGTTCCACTGTTGAACAGCTCTTACTGTCAGAAAGTTGTTCCTGGTGTTTCATTGCCAGTGTGGTGTTGAGAGCCAGTGTGGTGCGAGAGCCAATGTGGTAGACTCGTAATCTGGTGAACCGGGTTCGCGTCTCCGCTCCTCCACATGCAGCTGCTGGGTGACTTTGGGCTAGTCACACTTCTCTGAAGTCTCTCAGCCCCACTCACCTCACAGAGTGTTTGTTGTGGGGGAGGAAGGGAAAGGAGATTGTTAGCTGCTTTGAGACTCCTTCGGGTAGTGATAAAGCAGGATATCAAATCCAAACTCTTCTCTTCTCTTCTTCATTGGAATCTCATTAAAAATAAATAAATAAATGTTTTAAATGCAAGGGGGCAGTGTTATATTCCCAGCCTCCAAAAGCAGCAGAAAATTGTCTCCCTCCCAACTTCACAGATGACAAATACCAATCTCCACCCCACTTTTCATGCAAGGCAGAGGGAAACTAACGCTGGACTTCGTCTCTACCTTCAATGTTACAGGTTCTTCCTCGAATGTCTGGTGGAAAGTCGCTTTCAGCATTGCTCTGGCAGGGAATGTTGCTCTGGTCCTTGTTCTTATTTTCCTTAGTCTTCCAAGTAAGAAGATTCCACGTAAGACTTTCAGGTTTATGTGTGGGGTGGGATTTTTTTTGGGGGGGGGGTCATGCAATGAATACACAATTGTGATATATATATGTGAAATGGAACCAAGCCCCTCTCCCTTTCTTTTCCCCAATATTAATAAAATGAAGTTTTGTTTTGGAGCAAAAATAATATTCATCCCATTGCCCAGATACCTAAAGTGTTCTGGGGTTGTCAGTTTCCTCACCACCACCCATGGTGCTGCCAGTTTCCTAACCCATCAACCTCTGAAGCAATGCAGAAGGTTCCACATCCATTTCCTCCCAGTGCAATTATGTGGCTCAAATTGGATTATGCAGTGCATCTGTGTGTTATATAGGACGTGGGTGGTGCTGTGGTCTAAACCACTGAGCCTCTTGGGCTTGCCAATCAGAAGGTCAGAGGTTCGAATCCCTGTGACAGGATGAGCTCCCATTGCTCTGCCCCAGCTCCTGCCAACCTAGCAGTTTGAAAGCACGCCAGTGTGAGTAGAAAAATAGGTACCACTGTGGCGGGAAGGTAAAAGGCCTTTCTGTGCGCTTTGGCATCCGTCACAGTGTCCCGTTGCGCCAGAAGCGGTTCAGTCCTGCTGGCCACATGACTCGGAAAGCTGTTTGTGGACAAACGCCGGCTCCCTCGGCCTGAAAGCGAGATGAGCTCCATGACCCCATAGTCGCCTTTGACTGGATTTAACCATCCAGGGGTCCTTTACCTTTTACCTTACTATTATAATGCATATTTTATAGGGGAATGCTTGAAAAGCAATTGTCTGCTTCAGGGGAAATGCATACTAAATCGAAATTCAGATTTTTCTTTCTTTCTTCATTCCTTTGTTATCATCCACATACAACAGTATGATTGAATGCAAGTGAATCTGAAATGGAGCCTACTTATCCCTAATCCCCACATAGACAGGAAAGCCAATCAAATTTAGGGTTGTCTCCAACTGAGTTCTAATCAGAGGAGAGCCATTGAAATTAATGGAACTTAGCTAATCATGTGCATTAATTTCAAAAATCTACTCTGAGTTTGACTAACATTGGGTACAGCCCTTAGTGTTGAATTTTTTTACTGTTAAATGTTGAGGGATTGTCTCTTCTACCTTCTAACTCAAAGCAGCCACAATAAATACAACGCAAAAGTTTAAAAGGCGCAAGGAGATAGGATAATAATATATTGAGGATGGAATAACAAATAAAGTGAGTTACGCAACAATAACAAAAATAATAGTAGGTAAAGAAGATCGCACGCGGGTGGAGGGAAGTACTGGGCTGTGGGGGAGGGAGGTGAAGGGATTAATTGAAATTGCTAAAGACTGGTATAGGATTTAAGAGATTTAAATTTTTATAAAGATTCTCTAAGGAAAGCAGCAAGAAATATCAAGTAAAGGTATCAGAGAGGAGATCAGTGTAAATGAAAACACGAGACTTATGGTTTTGTTACATAAGATTTTATTTTGGAGTTGTCTGTTTATTTTGGAGGTGTTTGTTGTAAAGAATGTATATTATGTGAATCAAATAATAAAGGATTAAGAAGAAGAAAAAACAATAAATACAGATTCCGCCAATAATGAGTTTTCGACAAAACTCTCTCAATGAGAGCAAATTACGAACGTTGTAAACAGATGGGAATTCTCTAAAGTTGAACTGTTTTCTAAGTTTCCCAGGACGTTTTTTGCCAGCAAACCTCCACACAACCAGATCCGAAGTTGCCTGAAAAGATGTGTCCCTTGCAGCTCGGATAAGATGCGCACAACAGGTAACCCCCAGCCCTGAACTACATATTTGCTTCTCTTTGTTGTTGGTTTAAAAGATCTACAAAATGTGAACCCAAAGCAGCCTCATGACTTACTGAAAGTCACTGACAATGCAACTTCATGCATAGTTACTCAAAACTTCATGCATAGTTACTCAAAAAGTCCCACTGTGTTCAGCATTGCTTACCAGAGAAGTCTGCAGAGAATGGAAGCCTGAGTCTGAAAGTTGATAGTAAAGCAAGGCTTGTCCCTCTGCTTTTTCTTACAGGCGTTTTCCTCTGGTGACGGAGGGCTCACTCACACTTCAACTTGCCCTTTGCCTAGAAAACACGTGGTTTTCTGTGTGTCCCATGGGTCCAAGCAGTTCTGCTTCTGCCCTGCTGCCTCCCCCCACTCTTTAGTGCTACAGTGGTACCTCGGGTTACATACGCTTCAGGTTACATACGCTTCAGGTTACAGACTCCGCTAACCCAGAAATAGTGCTTCAGGTTAAGAACTTTGCTTCAGGATGAGAACAGAAATCATGCAGCGGCGACGCAGCGGCAGCAGGAGGCCCCATTAGCTAAAATGGTGCTTCAGGTTAAGAACAGTTTCAGGTTAAGTACGGACCTCTGGAACGAATTAAGTACTTAACCCAAGGTACCACTGTAAATCAGAACAAACGGCAAACCTGCAGAAAACCCAGTTGCCATTAGTTCTGATTTTGTGCTACACCACAGGTTTTCCTGGGAGAAAGCAGCAGGGCAAATGGCAATGTGAATCAGCCCTGAATTGCCACTTAACATTAGAAATTAGGCTAGTATCCCCTAGATATGTAAGGTAGGAGTTTTCTTCTTTTTACCTGTTTTGGATTCCCCTGGGTTGGAGAGAGCATTCTGGGCAAAATTCAAAATGGGATGAAGTGGGGAAGGCATGAAGAGATTCATATCATTTAGGGCAGAGGAGGCAGCTGCCCGTGAAGACAGAATAAAATTTATTTTAAAAAGCAGGTTCAAAGTTTTGGTCACCACTAGGAGATGAAGGAGAAATTGAATTCTGTTTGGATTCAAAGGCAAACTTTCCAAAGCAATATGCAAACCAAAATACAGCCGTCCGTCAAAATTTACATTTCTCTGAAGTTTGCAATGCAGTTTTTCTGCAAAGTTATGTGTATAAAAATGCATACATTAGCAAACAAACAAACAGAAAAATGTGTTATATTAGGGAGAATTGCTTTGCAAAGTTGTGTTGAATAGGCAAAATTGCACACAAAACTATATGTATATTAGGAGAAATTCACTTTTGAATTTTCACGATGACTTCTCTTGTTTCGTTTTTTAAGAAATTTTGCAGACTGATTTTGCAGAACATGATTAGGAAAATGAGAAACTAATTGAACCTGAAATAGACTTCCTGAAAAGGCTACTCTCCTCCATTCAGGAGCATTCCAGTGTGGACAAGCCCCTAGTCTTAACATTGGTAGTAGTAGTCAGACCTCCTGGAGTTCAAAGCTTAGGGGGTGGGGAGAGAACCAATAAAGTTATTTGAAGCCTAATGTTTTACTATTGAAGCCCCACCCACCCCGCCCCACTATATGTTCTCTGTATGACTGTTGGCTGTATGGCTGTAGTTATAAACTACAGCCATTAGCCATCCTTTAGGCTAATAACATACTCCAAATGTATACCATAATGTCACAAAACCATCCATGCACAAAATGGAAGTATCAGCAGGCTTGGGGGAACTCCAAGTAGGGCAACAAAAAATAAAATAATGAGACCTGAGCAGGGCCGGATTTAGGTTTGATGAAGCGCTAAGCTACTGAAGGTGATGGGGTACTTTATATCAGTGGCGTAGCGTGGGGGGTGCAGGGGGGCCCGGCCACACCGGGCGCAACATCTGGGGGTTAGGGTTAGGGGGCGCAAATCCACGGGTTAGGGTGCGCAAATCCACGGGTTAGGGGGCGCAAATTACTTGCCTTGCCCCGGGTACTGACAACCCACGCTACGCCACTGCTTTATATGTCCAGCTGTCCTTTGTCAACAACAAATTGTCACTGTTTTTTGTGTTGAATATATGCTATATGGTAATTTATGGACCCAATATGGGGCCTACACAACACAAAACACAGTTGCTGTATATAGGTTTTATTTTTTTATCTTATATTTTGGAAATGTACATCCAGTTGTTTTTTCCTTTAAATTTCTTTGGGGGCCCCAAGAGAGTGGGGCCCTAAGCGATAGCTTGTTTAGTTTATACGTAAATCAGGCCCTGCTTGCTCAGTGGACACAGAATACTGACTGGCTGATTGCAACCCAGAACAGGACATCTGCACACTGAATCAGATGGTTGCATGTCCCACTTTTATTTTATATTAGAGAACCTAGTATCACTTTCATAAAATCTGAATTAATTATTACCTGATTATTACCTGCTTCCAGGACTGTTAATAAAGTGGGTTCCCTCCCCCACCCGCCACCACCAGCTTAAGAGTGATAAACGTAAATTCATGTTGACCTCTAACTGGAGGGCTGCTAATATTTATTATTTCTTAAATGGCTGATAAAAGCAAGCCAATGTTCAATGGGTTATGACTCCTTTCCCTCTACACCAGTGTGGTGTAGTGGTTAAGAGCGGTAGTCACGTAATCTGGGAAACCGGGTTCGTGTCTCCGCTCCTCCACATGCAGCTGCTGGGTGACCTTGGGCCAGTCACACTTCTTTGAAGTCTCTCAGCCCCACTCACCTCACAGAGTGTTTGTTGTGGGGGAGGAAGGGAAAGGAGAATGTTAGCCGCTTTGAGACTCCTGAAGGGGAGTGAAAGGCGGGATATCAAATCCAAACTCCTCCTCCTCTTCTTCTTCTTCTTCTTCTTCTTCTTCTTCTTCTTCTTCTTCTTCTTCTCTGCTCTTTTCTTCACAGCAAATCTGACTCTGGATCCAAGCACAGCTCATCCCCAGCTCTACGTATCAGAAGATCTGAAGAGTGTGAAATGGAGAGGCATGAAGCAAAATGTGTCTGCTGGTCCCTTGAGATATGACGTGATGGCGAGCGTCCTAAGCCACCAGGGCATCAACTCGGGGAAATTTTGCTGGGAAGTGGAAGTGGTGGAAGGGGGCGGTTGGTGGGGTGTGGGAATTGTGAGGGAGGATGCAAACAGAAATGGGGCAATTCACCTTGCACCAGAGGGAGGGTACTGGGCGGTACAGCGTATTGATGGGCAGTACCAGTCAATTACTGACAATCCTAGGACAAATTTGTCCTTATGCCATCACCCAAGTAGGATCCGGGTTGCCTTGGACTACTCGGAGGGCCTGGTAGCATTTTTTGACGGTGATACTGATGCCCATCTCTTTACCTTTCCGAAAGCAAAATTCTCTGGGGAAAAGGTCCATGCCTGGTTCTTGATTTATGGGTGGAATGGGGAGCTCACAATCCATCCATGAGAGAAAGGAGCACCCCAATGCTGTTCTTCTGGGGTCTGAAACCAGACTCTATAGCTCTGGAAGGCTCTCATACAAGAATATACTTTATGGCCCAGCCACTCAACCACAGACTCATAAATACTAAGGAGGTATCACTCATGGCACGGCTACTTAACATATCTTGTCTACTAGACCCACACAGAGAATGTGCTATTTGAAGTTCTATTTGACATTCTGAATAAATGCCTGGATTTTATCCCAACATGCAGTTGCATAGGAATACTGGCCAAGCTGCAAAATGTTTGAGCTACTTGATGACTTTGAAAGCCATCTAGGCCCCAGAAGCTAGGCTTACTCATGTCCAGTGCCAACACCAGGCCTCCACAGTGTTCGCAACCTGCCAGGTATACTTAGTGACCTGCTAAGTGCTTGTTCCAAACAGGGAGCAGGAAGTTTATGAAGGCTCTAGTGGGCTTCCATACATGACTAGCAAATGATGCTCCATCTAGATCAGGGGTGGTGTGCCTGTAGCCCCTCATAAGGTGTTGGGCTCCAAGTCCTATCAGTCTATGGAGGACAGGCTTCTATTTGAAGACGTCCCCTCTTTGAAGGGCTGTCTGTTCCAAGGAGAAAGAGCCCTAAGAAGGAAGAGGAGCAGGGGCCATGAAATAGCCTATCAACAGAGTCCTCACCTGCACAGCACATTGAGCAGGGACATAGATCACCTGCTCCCAGTCTTCCCCACTAGGGCAAGGTGTAATGCTTCTCAATTTAATAGGGGAGCAGGTAGCACTGTGGTCTAAACCACTGAGCCTCTTTGGCTTCCTGATCAGAAGGCTGGTGGTTCAAATCCCCACAACGGAGTGAGCTCCCGTTGCTCTGTCCCAGCTTCTGCCAACCCAGCAGTTCAAAAGCACACCAGTGCAAGTAGATAAATAGGTACCAATGTGGGGGGAAGGTAAACAGTGTTTCCATGCGCTCTGGCTTCCATCACGGTGTTCCTGTTGTGCCAGAAGCAGTTTAGTCCTGCTGGCCACATAACCCAGAAAGCTGTCTGTGGACAAACGCCGGCTCCCTTGGCCTGAAAGCGAGATGAGCGCCACAACCCCATAGTTGCCTTTGACTGGACTTAACCGTCCAGGGTAAGCTTACCAGGCATCCCCGTTTCACAGGGACAGTCCTGAGATTTACAAATCAGTCCCCATAGAAAATCCATTGAAGTTGAAAAGTGGCCCCGGATTCATTGAAAAAAATCTGTTAACCTTAGTCCAGGGGTCCTTTACCTTTTTACCTACCTTTCTCAATTTAAATTTCTAAACTTGCACCTATATGCAATTTTATGCAAATCAGTATCCTCTTTGTCTGGTGACACATTTCCTCATTTTTGATAAGGCATAAGCGGGGCCCCCTTTATCAGCCCTGAGGTGGCACTTGGACAATGGTCAGGGAGTTGAAGCTGCCCAGAGTGGCTGGGGCAACCCAGTCAGATGGGCGGGGTAATAATAATAATAGTTGTTGTTGTTGTATTTATACCTTGCCCATCTGGCTGGGTTTCCCCAGCCATTCTGGGCGACTTACGGCATATCTAAAAACATAATAAAAACATCAAGTGTTTAATCCTCCTGATACAGGGCTGCCTATATTATTATTCTTATTATAAGTTCAGCTACAGCTGAGGGGCATGGGCTCCCTATTTCTGCACAAGAGTACAAACTGGACTCCACCTTTGTTGTTTATACATTGTAGTAGGCAAAATTCCTTGTAATCCTCATCTAATTTAGATTCCTAATAACCCAGTAAGGCAGTTGACTTGTTATCATTTTCTGGGGGATGGGATGAGGTCAGAAGATGAGTAATTCCCCATAGCCGCTTGACGAAATGCAGAATGACTCGATGAAAAGCCAGTTCCTCCCAGCCATGTCTGCTCTCAATGGTGACTTGAAAAGCCTCCAACTGGTTTGACTTCCAATGAAAGAAATAGAAGCCAGAGGTTCCTAGAATCCCCAGTGCTGTCATAAGATCTCCTTGCAAACCACAAACATGTCCCAAGGTCCCCGCTATGAGGAAAGAAGCAGACTTGAATCCCAAAGCAAAATGGCTGAAAGTGAGTGAAAGGACTTTAAAAAAATAAAATAAAAAAGAAAACAGGTTTTTTTAAAAATAGCACAGAGAATCTAGAAAGCACAAACTTCCGTCCACAAATGGTCACTCTGTGGACCTGGCAGCTTTGCTAGCGCTGTGCAGGCAGAGGGGAAAGCACCATGGAGAACATAAAGAAATATGAGGGCAGGTTCCAGCGCTTACTGAGACAAGGCTGTTACATAGACTCTGCATGTTTCCGACTACAATCTTCCTTTTCCGGGAGCTTGGAAAACTTGCAAGTTCCTTATATTCAGAAACAGCCTGTTCAGAAAAATCTGAGCCCCAGAAGCCCCTCTGAACAACTCTTTGTAAATTGCGCTGAAGTTTCTCCTTACAGTCAAGCGGTGTATACATTTTATGAAATAAATAAACAAGTTGCAACGCCATTTTTCTTCTTCTCTGTGTGATGAATAACCAGGGTGATGCTCCCGATATGTGTGCAAGCCTGCAAGTGCCACACAGTGTTTCCTCTGCCCTTGTAAAGGAATCTCTTCTTCAGGGTGGCATCGCCTACTTCCTGGGTCTGCTCTGAGGTCCTAGGAAAAGGACATTTTCCCAACACTGGTGCGTCCCTTCACACCAACAGCCTTCATAAGTCATCTTCGAAAAGTATCTTATTAGTGTGTACAAGTTTGCATTTAATAATGACCATATTTGAAGGTGGGGCTGTTGTCGGGCAAAGAAGAGTTTGGATTTGATATCCCGCTTTATCACTACCCGAAGGAGTCTCAAAGCGGCTCACATTCTCCTTTCCCTTCCTCCCCCACAACAAACACTCTGTGAGGTGAGTGGGGCTGAGAGACTTCAAAGAAGTGTGACTGGCCCAAGGTCACCCAGCAGCTGCATGTGGAGGAGTGGAGATGCGAACCTGGTTAACCAGATTACGAGTCCACCACTCTTAACCACTACACCACGCTGGCTCTCCAAAGAGGTGGGTGGTAAATGCTGCAACATAAATAAACATAAATCTCATCTGTCCAAATGGTGCATGAAATTACTGGGAGGTGGGACAGTGCTCCTGGCCTGCTCCACCCCAAAAAACCCCAGAGTCCTTTCTGTTGGGGATAATTCAGTCAGAAATTCCCAGGTGTCAAAAAAAGTTTATTTATGTATGTCACCACTGCAGTGTTTCGGTAGCCCCAAAATGGAAAATGAGCGAGGATCCAACCAAAGAAGAATGGCAACTTAAACTGATGGAATGCGCGCAGCTAGCAGATTTAACATATAGAAGAAGAGAACATAGCTGTCAATGTTTCCCTTTTTTAAAGGGAAATTCCCTTATTCGAAATAGAAAAGGGAAAAGTTGACAGCTACAGAAGAGAATGAGAAGAACATATGCCTATGAAATATATGGGTGAAAATTGTGTACACTTAAAAACGCTGGCAGCATTAAGATAAATTCAACAGCGTAAATAAGTTTTGATGGATGTAACAATGGAATACTGAATGGTTTAGCTGATGTAGAATATGCAGGGATGTATGTTATGCAAACTGAAGCATGGAAAGAGAAGAAGGGAAGTCATTGATTTAAGGTTGTTTAAACAAATATTCCAAAATGTAAATTTGAAATATATATATATATATATATATATTTGCTTTCGTAGATTTTCACGGGTACAGGAATGCAGGTTTTGGTGTCCTCGGGTGTCTTCCCGTGTAAAAGTTGGGGTGTCTAGGCGACGTTTCGACGAGGTCTCACTCGTCATCTTCAGGCTGGTGCTTTCGGCTTCTTGTTACTGGAACAGAGCAGGATCTCAGTGTTTGAGTTCCTATAAATATATATATATATGTATATATATATATATATATATATATATGTATATGAAGTTGGCTCCATCTTTGGATGCCCATTAGTTGCTTCCCTGTATGCTTCCATTGGATGCCCATTAGTTGCTTCCCTGTATGCTTCCACAGTTAAGAGGCACCAGAACTCACCATGAACATCTCCCTCATTCTCTTAGAATGGCAATGGTGCCCACCTGAGAGGTGCCGGAACCAGTGGCATAGCGTGGGTTGTCAGCACCCGGGGCAAGGCAAGTAATTTGCGCCCCCTAACCCGTGGATTTGCACCCCCTAACCCGTGGATTTGCCTAACCCCCAGATGTTGCGCCCGGTGCGGCCGGCCCCCCCTGCACCCCCCACGCTATGCCACTGGCCGGAACTGAGTTCCTGTGAGTTCCCCCTGAACAAAAAGCCCTGCTTCCACATAATAGGAACAGTGCTCAAATAGCATGGAATCCTATATGGAACTATTGCAGATGACTATGTATCCACACTGAGTTCATTTATCTTACAATACTTCAATGACCTAAATAAAAAGTCACTGATTTCTCTTCTCTGTCTACACCCTGCTAGAAAAATCCAATTTCATTTAATTCAGGAAATCTTGTGGAATTGCACAGATGGGATTTTCCTTTACTCTCCACCCTGTTGTTAATTATCCTGAGTAAATGTTTTGGACGCTAACTGACTGAAGCAGGTAGAATTTCCAGATAGGGATTTCTGAATGGATGAATCATACAGGATCACTTGGAAAACAACAGTGATGGTTATCAAATATATGTAAGCAAATATCCATGGCAACAACAACTCAGGCAGCATGAACAGCCCTGAAATCTATGAATGAAGGTCAGTATACAAATTTAATTAATAATCATAATAATTCATAATTCATAATAATAATAACAACAACCATCACCACCCTTGGGCTGCTCTTTTGAAGTTTTATTATGCATTTTTACTGTGATTTTATGTTGTGAGCCACTCTGAGATCTGCGAGTATTGTGCAGTCTACAAATTATTATTATTATTATTATTATTATTATTATTATTATTATTATTAAAGCTCTAGACAATAAATGTGTGGCCTCTTTCACCCCACACTTCTGTTTGGTCTGTTTTGTACCTTCACCTTGGCCTCGTGTGTGTGTGTGTGTGTGTGTGTGTGTGTGTGTAGACATGCACCTGCCACGTGAATTGTGTAATCTTCACCACTGACACCACTGCAAGCTACCAAAGCTAGAGAGCTTCTACAAAGAGGCAATAAAGATCAGTTTTAAAATATGCCAACATAACAGGTTGGAGCAGGGAGCCAATAAGGTTTTCCATTTCTCTTTGTGGCCCGCATCTTTAAGAGATGCCTGGAGTGCCCCCACACACCGAAGCAACCTAAAGGCTTCTCCCATCATTTGAATAGAAAGGCGAAACCAAACAAGCAGCCTGTGAGATATTTGCCAGGCCCGAATTCTCAACCTTGATTTTCCACGAATCATATAGGGACATAGTAAGTCGATTAACACAGAGCAAGACCATTGGCTCATTTAGCTCAGTGCCGAGTCTCCAACCCGACCTAGAGATGCTAGGAATGAAACCTGGGACCTTCTGCGTGCAAAGCGGGTGCCCTATCAGTGAGCCACAGCCCTTCCCCAAGGCATTTGGGGCACTTACCTCTTGGCACTTGCTCAGCGCCTGCTGCCAGGAAAGCCCCACCCTTGTTACCTGCTTGGCAGGTTCAGAAGAGGCCAGCTGAGATATACGGCAGCGCATTGAGCATTCGCTGCTCGTTCAGGTTCTCAAAGGCTGGATTCCCCGAAAGGAAATGCTTTTCATGCGTTGTACATTGGTACCTCGGGTTACATACGCTTCAGGTTACATACGCTTCAGGTTACAGACTCCGCTAACCCAGAAATATTACCTCAGGTAAATAATAATCATAATAATAATTTTTATTTATACCCCGCCCTCCCCAGCCAAGGCCGGGCTCAGGGCAGCTAACAAGCAATAATAAAAACAAGTTGAATGAATACAACTTAAAAACAAGATTAAAATATTGAAACATTAAAATATTAAAGTGCAGCCTCATCACAGGAGGAGAAAGGAAAAAGAAAAAAGAAAGAGGGGGAGCGAATCAAATTGGCTCCAAGCCAATGCCAGGCGGAACAGCTCTGTCTTACAGGCCCTGCGGAAAGAAATCAGATCCTGCAGGGCCCTGGTCTCATGAGACACAGCGTTCCACCAGGCCGGAGCCAGTGTTGAAAAGGCCCTGGCTCTGGTTGAGGCTAATCTAACTTCCTTAGGGCCCGGGACCACTAGGGTGTTGCTATTTATGGACCTTGAGGCTCTCCGTGGGGCATACCGGGAGAGGCGGTCCTGTAGGTACGAGGGTCCTAGGCTTAAGAACTTTGCTTCAGGTTGAGAACAGAAATTGTGCTCCGGTGGCGCGACAGCAGCAGGAGGCCCCATTAGCTAAAGTGGTGCTTCAGGTTAAGAACAGTTTCAGGTTAAGAACGGACCTCCAGAACGAATTAAGTACTTAACCCGAGGTACCACTGTATATGGAATCGACTCCCGCAAGGTGTAGAGGTCAGCCATCAGTTTGGGTGGCTTCAAAAGGGGCTTAGACAAAATTATGCAGGGAAGGTTTATCAGCATCAATTAGCTGTGCTTGATGTTGGGTGATAACACTGAGGCTGGTGCCCCCCAAATGCAGCGTCACCTAGGATTCATCACTCCGGTCTCCCATCACGCTGATGTGACCCATATCCAAGGACATGAGCACATGACTAGCAGAGTCCAAACAGAAGCTAAGCCTAAAAAAAAGTAAAGGACCCCTGACAGTTAAGTCCAGTTGCAGACGACTCTGGGGTTGTGGCGCTCATCTGGCTTTACAGGCCGAGGGAGCCAGCGTTTGTCCACAGACAGTTTTCCTGGGTCATGTGGCCAGCAGGACTAAGCCACTTCTGGTGAAACCAGAGCAGTGCACGGAAACGCTGTTTACCTTCCCGCCGGAAGGTAACCTTACCTTACCTTACCTATTTATCTACTTGCACTTTGGGGGCATGCTTTCAAACTGCAGGAGCTGGGGCCGAGCAATGGGAGTTTACCCTGTTACGGGGATTCAAACCGCCAACCTTCTGATCGGCAAGCCCAAGAGGCTCAGTGGTTTAGACCACTGTGTCACCCACGTCCCAATTTATTGCAAATTAAATCAAATGTAACAGAACAAAGAAAACATGGTTTCTCTCTCTGTCTTTCGTCCTCGGAGAGAGAACCGCAAAAGCAATAGCTATACAGAGCGGAAACAGCGTATCTCCCTTTCCACTCACAAGACTCCAATAATCAGGGCTGGAATGCAAACGGACATGTGACATGTAACAATCCCACACATCTGCAGCACGGGAGGAATGGAATTCCCAACACTTGAAGGGGTGCAAGCTCTGAATGCCAAATGCTTGGAAGCATCACAAAAGGCAAGGAATCGGGGTCCATTTGTGTGTGTGTGTGTGTGTGTGTGTGTGTGTGTGTGTATGCCCTGCTCGGCATAGTTCATAGCTTCTCTGAGTTATTCAAGCCCCTTCACCACGGCAAGGCAGTGATCCATGAAGGGGAATGTATGGAAGGGGATGTATGGAAGTGAGAGCTGGACCATAAAGAAGGCTGATCACCGAAGAATGGATGCTTTTGAATTATGGTGCTGGAAGAGACTCTTGAGAGTCCCATGGACTGCAAGAAGATCAAACCTCTCCATTCTGAAGGAAATCAGCCCTGAGTGCTCACTGGAAGGACAGATCATGAAGCTGAGGCTCCCTGGAAAAGACCCTGGGAAAGATGGAGGGCACAAGGAGAAGGGGACGACAGAGGACGAGATGGTTGGATAGTATTCTCAAAGCTACCAGCATGAGTTTGACTAAATTGCGGGAGGCAGTGGAAGACAGGAGTGCCTGGCGTGCACTGGTTCATGGGGTCACGAAGAGGCGGACATGACTAAACGACTAAACAACAAGAGTGTGTGTGCGTGCACACACAGAGAGACCCATTCAAGCAGTGCCTGGAAATTTGTTCTGTGACTTTAAAAATACTGATTATGCAAGAGCTGCAGCCACACAGCTTCTCCTTCCCGTTCCTTTCCAGCCCAGTTGTCTGATCTCTCCTCCAGCTGCTGTGCTGCGCACCTGGGGTTTGGCTCGCTACAGCAGGCAGGAAGGTGACAAGGATGAAAGGATCACGACTGCCATAAACTTGTCACAAAGGACACCTTCTATCAGCTAACTAGCAGTTGGTGGCCCCCTGCAGACATTGCCCAATACCGGTTTTAACTAATGGATTCCAGCTAAATGAAACTGACTTTCACCAACTGGGAAGTTGGTTTTGTAAACCCGTTTACATACCATTGCATCTGGCTGCCAGAAAGAATTTCAAGGACCTGAAAGTCCCTTTTCTGAAGTCTTGTCCGTCTGGCGACTAACACTGAAGATGGAGGATGAAGATGGGTACATGGCTATAGACCCAGCCACCCGGGATGCGTACCCAAGACCACCTCTCAAGAAAACCAAAGGTACTTGACTTTGAAATGTCCACCCTTTTTCTTTAAGGAGAGCAGCCGCTGTGACTAAAAAAGGAAGTTTCTTAAGAGGAAGCCTGTAGGTTTGATTTGGAAGGAGTTTGTAGTGAACTTTGTGCATGTGGCTTTTCTTCTTCTTCAACAAAATCATTCAAATCAGGTGTGTTTTAGTGTGCAGTTGTCCACAGAATATGGAGTTGCGGACATAAGTTATGCAGCCGGAAAGCTGATAATGTGCAATTTGAAAATGTGAGCAGGGGATTAGACACAATAGATATATATGTCTATTAAGCACTTAAGAGTCAGTCAATGTAAGGGACAGCATGTACACAGATTTTATAATGATAGAATGTGCTCAGTTTCTGTACTTAAACTCTCCAAACCATATTAAAAACTTCTTTTTTTGCCAGAACCTCCTCTACCTCACCTTCATTTCTGGGCAGGGCATGTTTCATTGCATCCTTAAACACCAAATACCCTTAAAGTACCACTTTTTTGTTCCAGCTAGTTACTGCATTAAGGCAAATACATAAATGCTGTGATAGATATGAACAACTGGCTGCTCTGGCCCTATTGATACAGGGAGTGAGCACGGAGCAAATAATAATAATAATAATAATAATAATAATAATAATAATAATAATAATAATAATAATTTTATTTATATCCCGCCCTCCCCAGCCAAAGCCGGGCTCAGATCGGCTAACAACAATAAAAGTAACACATAAAAGCATGATTTGAACTCCTTCCTTCCTTCCTTCCTTCCTTCCTTCCTTCCTTCCTTCCTTCCTTCCTTCCTTCCTTCCTTTTTAGTGTGTGGTGTATGACGGGGAATGTGTGCAATTAAAATAATAGACCTCTTTGCACTAGATGTGCTTGTGACATTTTCTGAGGACAGCTTCCTTTCCTCTCCTCAGAAATTGTAACCCCAACCTGGCTGAAACAGTGGCGTAGCGTGGGGGTGCAGGGGGGGCCGGCCGCACCGGGCGCAACATCTGGGGGTTAGGGTTAGGGGGCGCAAATCCACGGGTTAGGGGGCGCAAATTACTTGCCTTGCCCCGGGTGCTGAGAACCCACGCTACGCCACTGGGCTGAAACGATTCATGGATAGGTCCCATGGTATGGAACAAACCGGCTTGCCCACACTTCTGCTTGTTCCATGCCTTACACAGACAGGAATTTTCCCTTTCTCCCCAAACCACCATCAATTAAGCTGAGTAAACGTTTTGGATACTAACTGCCTGAAGCATGTATAATTTCCAGATGATGTTCTTACTGAATCGTGCCTGATCACCTGGATTACCACAGTGATTATTACCACATGAAAGTATATTACTATGGTAATGACAGCTCAGGAAGCAAATACAAATTAACAGGCACACAGGAAACCAGACCCAATTCAAAACACAAAAGACTCCATAAATATAACCTTGATTTCATGAGCGTTAGCCACAGAGCTGAAATGAAAAGCTGAGGAAATTTCAAGATTTTACAAGATTCAGTTCATTTTTTAAAAAAAATAAAAGATTTTTCGGTTATGATATTGAAAATCTGATGGTACTGGAGGGTTCTTTTAAACTGTTAATAGGATAGACCTGGGTCTTGATAATTTGTGATATGGTTTTTTAAGAATCTGGGTTCAATATATTTATTTGTTTTATTTATTTATTTATTCAACTTAGACACCGCCCTATACCCAGAGGTCTCAGGGCAGTTCACAACAAGACCACAACATATAAAATCAAACTGAAAGCAATAACCCAATAACCCCCCCCCCCACACACACACAAAAAAGCCACATTCTAAAAGGGTGTTGGATGTCAATAAGATCAACCAAAGGCCTGGTTAAAAAGGAACGTTTTTGCCTGGTGCCTAAGGGTATGTAATGAAGGCACTAGGTGAACTTCCCTGGGGAGAGGATTCCACAGACGGGGAGCCACCACAAAGAAGGCCCGTTCTCCTGTTGCCACCCTCTGGACCTCTCGAGAAGGAGGGCCTCAGAAGATGATCTCAGGGTCCGTGTAGGTTCATATGGAAAGAGGTGGTCTTGAGCCATTTAAGTTTTTATAGGTCAAAACCAGCACTTTGAATTGAGCCTGGAAACTAATTGGTAGCCAGTGCAGTCAGGCCAGGATCGGTGTAATATGCTTGAACCGTCTTGCTCTGGTGAGCAAACTGGCCGCTGAATTCTGCATTGCCTGAAGTTTCTGAACTGTCTTCAGAGGCAGCCCTATGTATAACACATTGCAGTAATCTAACCTTGAGGTTACCAGAACATAGACAACAGTAGTTAGGCTATCCCTGTCCAGATAGGGGCATAGCTGGGCCACCATCCGAAGCTGAAGGAAGACTCTCCAGGCCACTGAGGCCACCTGAGCCTTGAGCAATAGAAGAGGATCCAGGAGTACCCCTAGGCTACGAACCTTGCTCCTTCAGAGGAAGTGTAACCCCCATCAAAAGCAGGTGACCTCCCAGCCATCTGGTCTAGGGAACCGCTCACGATAGGATTGGAGAGGTCAGAAAGCCATAGTATGAATCCCAATAGCATCTTGGGATTGAAATGCTCAGAGTTTACCATCTCTGGTACATACGATTTTAGAAAGCTCAATAACGTTTGAGCCTCTGAGACACAAAAAGGAAGCCAGTCCAGTTTCAACTGTTGCTCAAGAGCAAATACTTGCACACCTGCAGCTGCTCGAGATACACTTAGACACATATCCCTACATTAAATTTTTAAAAATCCTCATTGATGTCAGCTGAACACATGGAATTCTGTTTTTTTGTTGTTTTTTAATAAACTTTTTATTGGTTTTTCAACATTTATAAAACACATACAATACAATACAATACAATACAATACACAATACAAACAAACAAACAAACAAACAAACAAACACATAAACACACAAGTATAATTTCAAATCTTTTCTTTTCATAAGCCTTACTTCACCGACTTCCCCATACCTCCCCTTTCTGCATCCCTATTTCAAATTCATTTCAGCAAATCCTCCCCCTTACATTAATCTAATTTTCCTTGTTCTTCTCTTTTACTTGATCTTTTACAGCTGCAATCACCCCTTTTTCTATAACCTCAACATTTTAACACTCATTAATTTTACAATATTTCTTGAGATAATTTTTGAATTTCCTCCAATCTTCTTCCGCCGTCTCTTTCCCTTGGTCTCGGATTCTGCCAGTCATTTCAGCCAGTCCCATGTAGTCTATCACCTTCATCTGCCATTCTTCCAGAGTGGGTAGATCTTGTGTCTGAACACATGGAATTCTGCTTCCATGCTTCTGCTTCTTCATTGCCGGTTTAGGGGTATGTGGTCTTCCACAGAGCAATGAAGTCATTGGATCCCTCTGTGGTCTTGGTTGCCACTTAGTACCAGACTCAGTAACAGCAGCAGTGAACACTCAACGGTGTGGAGGGAAGGGAGCAGCCAGTGGTCTTCACCACAAACCTTTAATTCCACAGATCCATCCTCCAATCTTATCTGGTGGAAAATTGGTCTTGGCATTTCGCTGGCAGGAATTATTGCTTTGACACTGGCTTTGATCATTCTCACTCTTCCAGGTAAGTAATCCCTGTTCCGATCATCCTGGTTTGTAAGAGGACTTCCTCATGCCATTGATACTGTTGCTTCCATGCAATAAATAAGGCAGAGCTCCTATTCATTTGCTGGACAGGAATCAAGCATTTGCTCCCTTGGTCCTCTTGCAGGCATATTGCATTTGCCCAGCCTCCCTTGCAGAACAGTTTCCGTCTGCAGTGCTTTCTGCCCTTTCTTTTTGTAGGGAAAAGCCTAGATGGTTTCAGATGCCAGGAAGCAGAGTATTATTCATATTGGGGTGGGTGCGTGGGTGCTTCTATTCCATCTGCCAACCCCGCAGTCCACCTGCTGTTCCTTTTGTCCCCTCCCTTTGGAGCAGGCTGTTTCACCAGCCCAAATTCCAGCATGGCCAAAGGTCTGAAATGATGGGAGTTGTGGTCCAGAAGCATATGGAAAGCAACAGATTGGGGAAGGATGCTCTGGAGGGAAGAACCTGGCCAATGTTATCAGCTGCCTGCGACCAGAAAGGATGTCATAAACTTTCCACTTACTCCTTATACAGTGGTGCCTCGCAAGACAAAAAACTCGCTAGACGAAAGAGTTTTCCGTTTTTGAGTTGTTCCGCAAGACGAATTTCCCTATGGGCTTGCTTCGCAAGACGAAACGTCTTGCGAGTTCTTGCGAGTTTGTTTCCTTTTACTTAAAGCTGCTAAGCCGCTAAGCCGTTAATAGCCGCTAAGCTGCTAAGCCGCTAATAGCCGTGCTTGCAAGACGAAAAAACCACAAGACGAAGAGACTTGCGGAACGGATTAATTTCGTCTTGCGAGGCACCACTGTACAATGTTTTGTTGTTGGTTTTTTGTTATAATGTAGATGTTTTAGTGTAGGCCACTTTGGTAGCCAATATTGACTGAAAAGCAAGACAGATTAATATCCTTAATAAAGAAATAATTGCGAGCCAAGGCCCCGGGCCTGTAGTTCCCTCAGATAATAAACACACGGACACAATTATTTTAGGTTAATGGGATAAATTAGGCCACAGCTTTATTGGTTACAGATGTGAGCGGTTTGGCTTAGGCTTGGGTGACCCCTGGCTATATATTGACTCTTGCCCGTCTGCAGGGAGTCACACTAAGGGTGAACCACCAGTAGTGGGAGCCCTATGACATACGTCAAATTGGGGCATGCCATGGGGTCCCCGTTGGGGTTGCCCCATGCCCAGGCTTTGGACAGGAACCACGCCCCCCGGATCCCTTTAACAGGATACTCTTATTGAGGAGGGGCATGCAGAGGCTACAACCTCCCCTCCCTGAAACAAAGGCTTACCCAATGCCTAACCTTAAAAAGTTGCGACGATTGCTACAAGGTAGGCAAAAACCAAATGGCTAGTGCCATTTAGACAGCCGGGAGCGTGGCAGTGGGGTGAGTCAGAATGACGTGGGCGGCATCCCTCCGCCCCCCAGCAGGGTCACTAAAGGTCCTGGATGTGGGGCTGCAACAGCGCCCACCACAGAAAGTGAGCAGACCTCTAAAACAGCAATATTTTGTTGCTAAGGAAATGAGGCACTTTCCATTTGCCCAGATGTGATCTGTATAGAGATATAAGCAACTCACAAGAGCTATTGGTAAACTTCATTTTGCTGAGCTGAAAGTCTAACAGGAAGTAGGAAGCAAAAAATAAAAATAAAAAAGCTAAGTAGGGAAAGATTGGGACTGTACTTTGTACAAAGACAACATGCCTATTTCTTGTGGGTGGTTGGTTGGTTGGTTTTTTTGTCCTGTTGTCCTTAATTGCTATCAGTTCTCTAATGTCTTCCATGTCTTCCAAGCTTCCCAAGGCTCTGCTCAAAGAAGCCAGGTGACCTTGCCACATCCAGTGATCTACTCAGCACAACAATGTGACTACCCAAACAGCAGTGCGCTGGAACGTCTCTCCAAACTCCCAAGATACGATTCATGCAAAGACGCTTTTGCCTCATGTATGCGTAAGTACGGTAGTTCTGTGGTGGGTGGGTGCGAATCAGATGCAGGAGTCCTTTGATTCAAAAACACAAACATTAATCACACTTCTTCTTCACGCTGTGAAATTCATTGCCCTGAGATGCGGCGATATCGCCCACTAGCTCAGATGTGCAAAATCTTAGAGCAGCTTTCCCTATCTTTGTGCCCTCCATATAGGCAAGTTGTTAAAACAGCAGTGTTGAATAAAGCGAAAAACTGGGTATGTTGTGGGAATGTTCAGGGTGGCAGGTTATATTGTTTATTAATATCCTTCCTAACTTGCATTAGCAAGTTTCTTTACTTAGCAGAGTGCATTCTCCTTTACACAGCAGAAAATTAGATGCAAACTCGTGGGAGTTTCTTAAGACAATGCACAATTCACTCTGGCTTGTCCAGATTGAAATGTGTTCTAATATTTTCCTGGAAAGACCCATTGAATCCATCCTAAAGGAATAAAGACACCACAGTCTTATTCATAAGCAATAAAAAGAAAGTTTACTCAGGCAGAGCACAGTGTGATCCCTGAAGGCAGGGTTAAGGCTTAAAGTTACAAGAATATACAAATAGGTTTACCCCATATGTGGGTTGACCTAGTGACTGCAGTTGGCAGTCTGGGAAGTTTGCAGGATGAAAGGAAGATGGAAAACAGAGAGTGTGGCACCATGCCTTAACCTTTTACTAGGTCTGGAAAGGTCACGCCCACCTGTTAGTCACATGCAAGGAAGGATGCTCCAGGCCAGGAGGAACAGGAGGTTTCAACCGGCTGGACCAAACATTCCCTTGCATGTCCACTCTAGCAAAACAAGGAATGTTGTACTTGACTGCTCTCAGTGAATTACATCCCACACAAGCAGGTTAAGATGACTGGATATTTTGCTGAAACTGGATGTGGCGCCAAGTGTGCATCCCTGTGAAGATAGTTCCACAGATGTGGAGCCGCCAGCCACCACCAAAGAGGTTCTTAGCCTGTTTGGCACCTGCCTTGCTGTCATGACAGTGCCTTTGGGTTCAATCCCGGAATAGTAGACTCTGGAGAAAGAGGAGGAAGATGAGGCAAGAACAGATGGAACCCCTGTCTCCATTTGGTTCTAGTGTGAAGACACAACTTCCAGCTCCTTCCCTTCCTGATGAGGAGAGTTGCCATTAAAAAAAATGAGGAGAGTTGCCATTAAAAAAAATGTTTAAGAGTGGGCAAAATGTTTCATTCAGTTGATCCCATTCAACAGTCTAACAGCTGTATTTTGGACCAATGGCAGCTTCTGCAGCTTCTTCAAAGAAATCAGCTCCATGTGCAGCACATTGTAGAAGTTGAACATGTTAAAAATGCTATACAGTTTGCCTGGGAAATTGCGGGTTTCTGGCATTGTTCATTGGGTTTCCACTGCTGCAACAACATACTTAAATGAGCAGAATGTCTCTCCAGGGAGAACAAGGGACTCAGCTACATTAGTTAAAGTGGGGGCATTATAAATGTGTTATAACACTGACACCAGATGGCTCTGTACAGTTCGATCCTTCAGCAATGTGATTTTGCATTACGAGCTTTACAATGTGTTTTCCTGAAATGTTTTGGTTTTTTTATGTGTCTATATCCAGCCAACCTCGGCATGTAAAAATGTTAGCCCAAGGTCACATGGATGTTTGTTTATAATTTTATGTTCTTCAGTGAGCTCAGTTTGATCCAAAACCTCATGATCTTCTTAACCTTTTCACATCTTCAGGGAACTAATGACTCATAGGACAACTGGGGGTTAAGCAAGATGGAAGTTGCAGCAAGAGCTGAATTTGTCACCGACTTATTCTGAAAATTCTACTGTCATCATTAGCATATGATGGCAGCTTCCTGAATCTCCCCTTAATCATAATAGGAGAAAATGCTGTTTTAAAAACAAACAAACCCACTAAACTTTTAATATCAAACTTTGAAAATTCAGATTAACATGTTGAAAATCTTCCATATTTGACATTCCTAGAATCATAGAATCATAGAGTTGGAAGAGACCACAAGGGCCGTCGAGTCCAACCCCCTGCCAAGCAGGAAACACCATCAGAGCACTCCTGACATATGGCACTCCTTTCATATGGCACTCCTGTCCTAGAAAGGGACAGCTCAGTCCATAGATCATGAGACTCTTAATCTCAGGGTTGTGGGTTTGAACCCCATGTTGGGCAAAAGACCCCTACATTGCAGGGGGTTGGACTGGATGACCCTTATGGCCCCTTGCAACTCAATGATTCTATGAAAGTTCAATTTCAACTTTCTTGGTTTTCCTTCTTTGACACGCAGGTGAACCTTCTGACATCTGCATCCAAGTGCCAAAGACCCCCATCACTGCAGCAGTCAATGAAACGGCATTCATCCCTGTTGATGTCCAAGTCCCAAAGACTGACTGGGATTTCGTTGAAATCCAATGGCATCACATCAAAGGATCGGAGGAAGACTTCATTCTGAAACTTAACATGAGGTCATGCAGCCTAACCAGCAACCCGCAGAAGTGGTGGCAGCGTTATTGCCACCTCTTTTACGAGGTGTTGCCGAAACATCGGAGGAGAGTGTCAGTCATGACGAACGCTTGGCTGGTCATCTGCAATGTGCAACCGGAAGATTCTGGGAGATACCAAATCACAGTGATAGCCAACAACATGAAAGATGCATGTAGTTTTGTGAATCTTTCAGTGGCTGGAGGTAAGAGGAGGCAGAGAGGTGTATGGAGGTTCGGTACACTTCAGCACAGACCTGGGCCTACAAAACCATCCTGGGTGACCCAGAATTAAGTGGCAAAACTTTTTTCTGGTTTGCACCTTTTCAGTCTCCAGGGTGGAGGATGAGTCTTTGAATTCTTTACCACTTGGAGGTGGAAGAGAGAGAACCCTGAGCACAGAAATCGAGTGTTACCAAAAGATTGAAATTGTGCTAGTTTTCTGTGTGTTTACATGAGGAAGCATTTGACTGTGCCAAACCCCATCTCCAACTTGGCATAGCAGAATCTGAAATGCATAAACTGGTTCTTGGAGGCAGGGAACAGGAAACCTCTGTGCCAGAAAACAATCAAGAAGAAGAGTTTGGATTTGATATCCCGCCTTTCACTCCCTTTAAGGAGTCTCAAATCAGCTAACATTCTCCTTTCCCTTCCTCCCCCACAACAAACACTCTGTGAGGTGAGTGGGGCTGAGAGACTTCAGAGAAGCGTGACTGGCCCAAGGTCACCCAGCAACTGCATGTGGAAGAGCGGGGAAGCGAACCCAGTTCACCAGACTACGAGTCCACCGCTCTTAACCACCACACCACACTAGCACTCTCAAGGTGCACAAACATAAGGCATTTACACATCTGAGTAACAGCTAGGCAGGGGCAGACTTTTTGTCCTAGTGGTCTATGGTGCAATGTGAAATCTGTTTTGCATCTTACGGGGTATAATCTAATTAAATGTTCATAACATATTGCTTTCTGTGCACTTTCAGAACAAATCTGTAGAATGTGATAGTTCTGACCTACAGTTGATGTGATCAAATGTACCATGTTTGGTATTTGTAAACCTATAAATAAGGTTTTCCCCACCCACCGGTGTAGCTTACATAGAGTACAGGCACAGATCTCATGAACTGAGGGCATGTAGCCTTGAATAAGATCTGGCAGATTTAACAAAGTATAAAATGCAGTAGAGTGGTACCTCAGGTTAAGTACTTAATTCGTTCCGGAGGTCCACACTTAACCTGAAACTGTTCTTAACCTGAAGCACCACTTTAGCTAATGGGGCCTCCCGCTGCCGCCGCACCACCGGAGCATGATTTCTGTTCTCATCCTGAAGCAAAGTTCTTAACCTGAAGCACTATTTCTGGGTTAGCAGAGTCTGTAACCCGAGGTACCACTGTACTGGAGTGCCACTTGGAATGGAATTGGTCTTTGGGGAGCTTTGAGGAAGCCATTTTGCATTTCTTTTCCTCTAGAAAAGTGAATATATAGAAGGCACTGAACATATCCACTGCCTGTTCTTCCAGGTTCAATCGGAGAAATTCGAATCTGAAGGCTGAATCTCTTGCTCTTGCATGTTGAAATTAGGGTACAGCTGAAAATGCACCATGTTCATAGACTGCAGACAGGGCTCTCTCCTTTCTCATGATCTTTTCAGGGAGACCTTGCAAGCTTTACTTCCCATCAGCATTGCCCTCACTCTAAATGGACTTCATGACAGTGCCATGTAACGTATGAGATTGGGCAGTGTGATGAAATTTGAAGCCAAATCAGAGTGAGGACAATCATTCCAACACCATATGGGAGGGAGGAAGAATGGCTCTGAGCAGGAATGGGAAAGGGTACATGCACATCTGCCTGAAACATCTGGAGCAACTTTATGTGAGTCAGATCATTGATCCATTTAGCTCAGCTTGGTCTACACTGACTAGATAACATCTGTATGAAATCCTGGAGATCTTCTGCCCGTCAGTGTAGATAATACTGAACTAGATGGATCAGTGGCCTGACTCTTATCCTCCTCTGCTATGCCCCTTAGACTCCAACCTCTGAGTGATGCTGCCCATGTTTTTCTTTTTCCCTTTCAAATATGTTAGGAGATGGTGAAGGAAGCAGGCATTCATCACACTAATTGAAGAATGTCAGGAGAATTTCTTCAGCTGTTGCTGGGAGAGGTAAGTGACTATACTTAGGGAAGCTTCTGGAGTTTTATGCTTGTTTACTTGTCTGTTTTTTCACCTTTTGAATTCCAGATCCTACAGTGCATTTATTATATTTCAAACCTGAAACTAAAAACAAACAAAAAATACAGCTAGAAGCTCAAGCAGTCCAGTCCACAACACCATATAAACCGACGAATAAGTGATTTAAGTTCTCTTGAATTCATTGGGATAAATTCACTAATGCCATGCCAGACTTCACATTACCCAATCTTCACATCAGGCTACCTTTACAATCCAGCTTGTGCAACAACAAAAAACCACAGCCCTGGAATCCATTGTGTTAGACCCTTTCTGATGACCAAGTTTCTCAGGACTGGACTCAAAGATTACTGTGTTTGTTTCTGTATGGCGAAGCGAATCTGCTTGTTTGATGTAGCCCTAAATGCAGGGTATTTAGAAATCTTTTACTGTAATACATAGGACTGTTACAGAAAGACTTTATCGCTCCATTCAAAGAGCAAATTGGGGGGGGGGGGAGGAGAAGAAGAAGAGTTTGGATTTCATATCCCACTTTATCACTACCCGAAGGAGTCTCAAAGCGGCTAACATTCTCCTTTCCCTTCCTCCCCCACAACAAACACTCTGTGAGGTGAGTGGGGCTGAGAGACTTCAAAGAAGTGTGACTGGCCCAAGGTCACCCAGCAACTGCATGTGGAGGAGCGGGGAAGCAAACCCGGTTCCCCAGATTACGAATCTACTGCTCTTAACCACTACACCACACTGGACATTGGATGGTAAAAATTTGCACCATTCAGCCCCCCCCAACACTCATAACAGTATGGTTCAGGTAGCCATAATTCATCCCCTTTGATAACTACACTTGTCTGATAGTTAAAATAGATTTTGTTCTTGTGCAATAGTTCTGTTCTTTGTTCTCTTCCATAGTAAAAGAGGTAGCAGACGGATCGACAGAACTAGATGGAACTTTATATCAAGCCAAACTAGACACAGTACAATGACAATGACAACAACGCATGAATTTCTTTTCTCCAGCAGTCGTTCTCAGAATTTGCCATAAATGACCATTTTTGCACGTCATGGGTGGGAGAGATTGGAGCCAGTGTGTACTAGTAACTGAATTGGCCTTTGATCATGTAGAGTGGAATTCAAGCACCGTCAGCTTTGAGTGCCTAAGTCCCTACCTCTCAGCCTCAACTGTAAAACAGGAGTAACAGTAAATTATCCCCATCATAAGTTATGAGTTTGTGAGAGCAACGCACAACAAAAACACTTAAATCTGGGACTGGCTAGTGGCTGAATGTTGGACACCTGGCAACCACATGTATGCTGCCTTGTATCTGAGGACAGAAACAAGGTGGGACATAAATGGAATAATTGCATTTAAAATAAATTGAATGCATAACTTTGTACACTAGTAGCCATTTCAAAATTGCAGTCACACGATTATACAAAGGTCCCTATCCCAAACCATTGCTTATGTACCTTCTGCAAAAAGTGTAGTTATTTGGAAATGTTTCATTTGTGTTGCTCATAAGTCCGTTGCCTCAGCATAGTAATTAAGGCTGCAATTCTACACCCAACCTATCTGGAATTAAATCCCATTCAACTACTTGGGATTTTTTTTTCCTGAGCAGACATGTATAGGATGGGACTGTAATTATACAAGCTGTCAGGAAGACCCAAGTGAAATTTTCACCTCATCCATTACTTATTAAATGTCCTTAGCTGGGCCTCTGTCAGCCTCAGCCTTGCACATGTAAGAAGATACTGCTAGCCTATCATACACGGCTGTTATAAGGATTACTGAGATCACTCTAAATGCTGAAGGGTTTTTCGTCAACAGCATGGTTGTTTTCTGAAATTTAACTTTTTGATTTTTTTAAAAACACTTCACATAACACTAAGGAATAGCTAACATCAACCAAGGTTTATAAACCAACAACAAACCATGGCTTACAAATACACCTTGTTCATGGTTAATAATTCATTTTGTTGGCCAGGTTCAGATTACAAACCATGGTTTAGCATGAAGTATGAACCAGGCCTATCTTGCCTCCAAGAAGGTGATCTTATCTCCTTGCCATGAGCAATTAGTCTATTGCAGGCTTCCTCAAAGTCGGCCCTCCAGATGTTTTGAGACTACAATTCCCATCATCCCTGACCACTGGTCCTGCTAGCTAGGGATCATGGGAGTTGTAGGCCAAAAACATCTGGAGGGCCGAGTTTGAGGAAGCCTGATCTGTTGCCATCTGCTCTTGTGGATCTTCAAATCAGTACCAGATACCGGGCACTAAAAGTAGGGCTTTTGCCATGAAGAGCTCTTGTCAGTGATTATATATATCACCTGATTCAGATCTATGTACAGAAGCCTATTGCTACATACTTACTGATTGCTTTTGCTAGACCAGAGAAAAAATGAGTTATGTTTTTTATTGTTCAAATTGCACCTAAGGCCCAGATTGATCGAAGGCCCAAACTACATTTCCTTAAATGCAACATTTCCTCCCCACATAACTTTTTGCTTTTATAATTTAAAACATAAGGTCATGGTGCTCAGCATTTTCCTGCCCTTCCTGTTCTTTGCTGGCTGCTGATTACAGGGGGTTTAGAAGGGTAATGGCATACCTTTCAAGTGTCACTATTTTCCCAGGATATTCAGGGAATTACAGAAGCCATCCCAGCTTCTGATTTGACCCCAGAATGTTTTGTTTTCCCCCTTCCATTGCCACCACAGCAGACATGTGCAACACTCTTGCTAGCCGCTTTCTGCCGCCACCAAAGCCACTGGCACTGTAATGCTTTATGAATTTATCTGTATATTTTTATATGTGTAGCATTTCTTCTTTGTAAGCGTGCCCTGCTTTGGTTTTATTTACATGTTCCTGTATGAAATGAAAGAGAAAAATTATTCTACACTGGTTCCGTTTATATAATATGCACAGGCCATGAGACAAATTTAAATCTTCAGCTGCATGAACTTAACTGTCCTGTTCAAATTAAAGAGAGTTGCGCTACAGTCCTTAGCATAAGCAGTGCTTTTTTATAGAAAAAGGGGTGCTGGAACTCACCATGAATGCTTGTTCTCTTAGAATAGCAATGTTGCCCACCTGAGAGATGCCAGAACCAAGTTCCAGCAAGTTCCATCTGGGGAAATAAGCCCTGGGCATGTCTCATGAATGTGCTCTATGTGGGGCTACCTTTGAAGGTGACCCAGAAACAACTAATCCATAATGCAGCTGCTAGACTTGTGGCATGGAGTGGCCGCCGAGACCACATAGCACCAGTCCTAAAAGACCTACATTGGCTTCCAGTACGTTTCTGAGCACAATTCAAAGTGTTGGTGCTGACCTTTAAAGCCCTAAACGGCCTCGGCCCAGTATGCCTGAAGGAGTGTCTCCACCCCCATCGTTCTGCCCGGACGCTGAGGTCCAGCTCTGAGGGCCCTCTGGCAGTTCCCTCACTGCGAGAAGCCAAGTTACAGGGAACCAGGCAGAGGGCCTTCTTGGTAGTGGCACCTGCCCTGTGGAACACCCTTCCATCAGATGTCAAGGACTTTTAGAAGACATCTGAAGGCAGCCCTGTTTAGGGAAGTTTGGAATACTTGATGTTTTATCATGTTTTTAATATTCTGTTGGGAGCTGCCCAGAGTTGCTGGGGAAACCCAACCAGAGGGGTAGGGTATAAATAAATAAATGGTGGTGGTGTCTTGAAGCATAGTGAGATCTGGAAAAGAGTGGGAGGAGCTCAGAGAGCTAGAGTATCCCAGAGTGGGTTGCAGGGTGGAGGTGGCAAATTCCAGACAAGAGATCTCAGATTCCAGGGACAGGCATAGCAGTTTAGGACATCTGGATAACAGTGGGATAACAGGGGAATGTCCCACTGTTCTACCTTCAGAGATGCCTAGTCTACCTCCTCCTGTCACCCCAAATCCTTTGCCTTTAGGGGAAGCAGCTGAGAGTAAAGTGGAGCCAGCCTCAATATCTTCACCATGGACAGGGAGACTCCAGTGCTGGTGCATGAACAAACCTCTTTTAGACGATGCAGAGGGAGGGATGCCCATTTGCTTGCCCAGTCCTGGAACACCATCTGCCTGTCATGCAAATAACTTTGTCTGCCCCACTCTTCAAAAGGAAGGTGTGGGGAGTGTCACTTGTTAGATCAGTGTTTTAGATCGCGCTCAGCCATGCATTTAAACTCTCACGTACCTGTTAATTTCTACACTCTGTGCCTTGCCTTATGTACCTATCTGACCTAAAAATTAAAGCCTTTGGCAGAACTGGAGTTGGAAGTTCACTTTCTTCATCTGACAGGGCGGGTCAGGACAATCCTATAGGTGTCTAAGCAGAAGTAAGGCCTACTCATGTAAAAACACGCTGATTCCTGGACCGCCCATGGGCCAGATTGAGAAGGCGATTGGGCCACATCCGGCCCACGGGCCTTAGGTTGCCTACCCCTGTAATACATTGTCTGGGAGTGAGTACCACTGGACTCAAAGAGAATTGCACTTGAGGAGGCATGCATAGGGTTAAATATTATTAAGCTCTTCTAGCTTTGTTGGATTCAGCCCAGAATCATCTCCATTCTTCTAACTCTTGTGAAATAAAGAAGTCAGTGCGGAAGAAAACACATTTAATTGTTTTTTACTCTGAGGAATTAGTTTACTGCACCACCCACAGTCTCAAGATAAGCCTCTCCAACAGAGAGTCAGGTTTGCTACCATAAACAGAGTGTGTTGTTTTCTTCTCCCTTATTCTGTCTAAATCCCCAAGAAACCATTCTGCCTTAAAGCACTCATGTAGTTGCACATTAAGTTTCTTTCTTTTGCAGGGACTAATTTCTCCCTAATTGCTGTCATCATCAATCTCTTTCCTACTCAAGTAAGGGGCCTCAGCTGTTAAAAAGCAAAAAAACCCCTACCTCCTTTGATGTTGACTTTGCTGGTAGAGATTAAGGCTGACAGGGGTTATGCACAACC